TATAACAAATACATGCATACCCACATTTCGGACCACTCAAGCACAAAAAACAGTCCCATGGTGGAGCCAAGACATAATTAATGTCAGAAAGACAAGGAAAAAGGCCCTCAATAAATCAAAGAGGGACCGTTCGAAATTACATTTAGCTAAAAAACTCAGAAATAACACAAAACAACTAATCAAGGCAGCAAAAAAGGAACATTGGAGAAAATTTTGCTCGACCCTGAGGCTAAATCAACAAAACTCTAGAAAAATGTGGAAAAAATTTAAAGCCATACAGGGAAATTCCAAATCTATAATTCAACCTAACCTTCCGAACCTCCCCACAAATAAAGATAAAGCTAATGCTGTTGCTGCCCACTTCTCGGACACTAGTAGCTCCACCAACTACACAGCAAACTTTCAAAATACCATTAAAAATCACCCACCCTACTCACCTGAACCACCCCACTCACATCTACCTATAAACAAAAACATAAACATTCACGAACTTAAGGCAGCTTTAAAACATAAAAAAACAGCCTCAGCCCCTGGTCCAGATAACATTACATACACAATACTAAACAAACTTCCACCAAACATCCTAAACTTAACACTCACTCTATTCAACCATATCTGGACCACAGGAAACATACCATCTTCATGGAAAACAGCCAAGGTGGTGCCAATCCTAAAGCCAGGGAAACCCATTAACTCCCCAGATTCATTTCGACCCATTTCCCTTACCTCACATTTATGTAAAACACTAGAGTCTATAGTAAACAATAGACTAAAACACCAAATTGAAACCCATAACCTAATTAAGCAGGACCAGAGTGGCTTCACTCCAAATAGGCAAACTTTGGATCACATTTTACATTTGGAACAAGATATAAAGGTAGCCCAAGCACAAAAACAATACACGCTGGCCATTTTTATAGACTTCAGCAAAGCTTTCGACATGATCTGGCACAACGGCCTAATCCAAAAACTACAAGAAAAAGCCATACACGGGCGGATTCTAAATTTCATTCAAGCATTTCTTAATAACAGACAAATAATAGTCAAATCTCACAACACTGTCTCGGACCCCTTTCCACTAGAAAATGGAACCCCCCAGGGGAGTATAATCTCCCCAACACTATTCAACTTTATGATTAATGACATTTTTCCGGACAAGTGGCCAGAAATTTCTACTGCAAAATTTGCTGATGACATTTCATTTTGGACATCATCTACCTCAGGAAACCAAGCCACAATCAAAACTCAAAGAATGCTAAACCACATCCAAAACTGGGCCCAAAAATGGGGGTTCCACATTAACGTTAAAAAAACCGTGGGCATCCTATTCAAAAAACAAAGAATGCAAAATTATACACCCAAACTTCATCTCAACAACCAAGAAATCAAGTTCGAAAAAAGAGGCAAAATTCCTAGGTGTAACTTTCGACCAACACATGACATGGACACCCCACATTAATAACCTGGTCAATTCATGCCAAAAAGATTTAAATCTCATGCGAGCCATCAGCGGCACAAACTGGGGAGCCGACAAACAAACACTTATTAGTATATACAAAACTCTGATACAGTCTAGACTGGACTATGCTGCTCCGGTCCTCCACTCTATCTCCCCAACCAACCTCCAAAAACTCAATTCAATACAGTATAAAGCCCTTAAACAAGCCCTAGGCACTAGGACTGGTACCTCCCACAACACTCTTCTCCTACTCACAGGCATCCCTTCAATCAAAACACGAATAAATCAAACCGCACTCAATTACTGGGCTGGGGCCCAACACAACCCAATCTACAAACTTATCACAACTAAATACACAAACATTAAAAAATCCACTATCAAAAAATTTAAAAACAACCCAAACAAAGCCCCTCTACTCACTCACCTCAACAGTCTGCTTCACTCACACCACCTAAACACCATCCAACACACACCTCCCATAACAAGATACATTCATGACAAACCCCCACCCCCTACAGATACCACCCTAGTAGAAACACTCCAAAATCTCCCTAAATCCACAGACACTCAAACCAAAACAAACCTCATCCAAACCCACATCAACCTAAATTATCCCAACCATACCCAGATATATACAGACGCCTCAATCGGCACAAACAAACGCATAGGCATAGGCATCCATGTAAACCAAACACCCCCCCTAACAACAAACCTCCACTATACAAACCACACAAACATTAACACAGCAGAACTCACAGCAATTCTAACAGCACTTCACCTCATCCCCACTATGCCCCACACCAACATCTTATTACTTACAGACTCTCTCAGCGCCGTCAAACAACTTCAACACAAGCACTCAAAAGCACGTAACGACTTAATACACAACATAATTATACAAACCGAGTCACTCCAACAACTAAATAAAAACATAACACTAATGTGGATTCCAGCTCATACACACAACCAAGGAAATAACACAGCAGACATAGCAGCCAAACTAGCCACCACACAAAACTCACCACCCATTCAATTTCACACATCCAAAACCGAAATAAAACAACTCATCAAACACCACATAATCAACCAAAACTACCAACACAACCTTAACACAAATAAATCCACCTGGGTCAAAGCAATCATAACTAAACCTATCACCAAAACACTCACCTACTCAAGCAACAAACACATGGACACACTCATCACAAGATTAATCACTGGCATCACAAACCTAAATCATCCATTATTCAAACAAAACAGACACCCAGATGGATTATGTACTCATTGCAATCAACCTGAAACCATTGAACACATATTCACACACTGCCACCTCCAACAAACAAACATCACACAACTACACACCAGCATTCCAAGTAAATATCACAACAACATACAGCTACTTTTAAATCCTTTTAACCCGTCAAATATATTTCATGCCATAGCCACCTTTATCCAAAACTCAAATTTAATAAATAAAATTTAGAACCTCCCAAACAATCCTCATCATACTACGTCTCAATAGCCTATATATTTAGACCAGGCACCCAAATTTCACTTCTCTATACTTAAACTCTATCACCAACATAAGCCTGCTCATTTAGACCTGGGAAACCAAATCATCTATTTACAGTTGTCTTATTTCTGCTAAAAGGTCCGCGCCTCTCCCAGCCAATCAGCAACCACTAATACGTAAACAAACCTAGCTCCAGCCCTCGTGTACAAAGGTCACGACCCTCAATGCAAGCCAGCTCGCCAACAATCCCATTACCACCCACACGGCCTTTGCCTTATCGTCTCCTCACCCCCCACCCCCACCCGTTACAACCCTTTTTCTTTCTTTACTAGGTCCCATTTTATTAAAATAAGTACAGCCTAACTGTACCACCATAACATTTCTAACATGCTATACACTTATTTTATACTCACCTCCACCCCCACCCCCACCCCACCCTCACCCATTTTAACTATCCCTCTATTTACTCCAACTCCTCTTATTATTAACAACTGCTTTATTTTTTTCACTCTTTTTATAATTTCGGCTTTTCATTTTATTTATATCATACAGTAGAACACGGATATAACAAACTCCAAGGGACCACGAAATTTAGTTCGCTATATCCGGTGTTCGTTATTCACATTTGACCGCCATCTTGGATTGTAGAGATGTAGAGACACCTATATGCTGAGGCTACAAATGTTTATTCTTGTACATGTACATTGACATAACATTAAAATTCTGAATTTATCATTCACAGACATTAGCTAGAACATGTTTAACAAGAACATGTTTAACAATCACAACAATCTCAAAAATACATGTATATAACTTAATTACGTTTAACAAAGTACCACAATTTTGCTCTGCACACCACGTCTTGCAGACTTCATTTTGCCGACTGCATCACAGACACGTTAATGAGTTCGCTAATCACGTCGATAGTTGGGCTTGGGGGTAGTAAATCAGTTCGCTATAGCCGTTAATTCGCTACTCACGAGTTCGTTATTCGCGTATAATTTTAATGATATTATAAAGGACTGTTGACGGGACTTTTAAATGTGTTCGCTATATCCGTTTGTACGCTATATCCGTGTTCGCTATATCCGTGTTCTACTGTATTTTTAACTACTTTTATTATTCTAAAACTACCTAAGTTTAATCTCCCATAACTTACATTTTTTTGGGTATGGTGGTTTATCCCTATTACTACATTATTAATTAATTTATATATCAACCCCACCTACCCCGTCGGCGACATTGGCCACGCTAAAAGCCGACGTAAAACCTCAAATTTCGTTCGTTCGGAAACATTCTCCGTGTAGCCACAGGACACATCTATCCAACAACGCGCGGCATGCGCGTGTAAGGCGATTTATGCAGCCCCCAAGGGAGCCGTGCTGAAATAGGTGATACAATCTGGGAGCAATATTACTGACACTCACTGTGATAAAGGGCCCGGGGGACCAACTTAACACTCTAAGAATATCACATCACTTTTTCGGCTTGTTATATGACAATGCTTAACACCGTATAGTGCGTGCTTTGAATGTAGATATGCAAAGCCCTCTTGACAAACTTGAAGCGGATTTACTGCACATGCACATACGGATATTCTGTTAAAGCTTCGTGAATAACCATGAATAAGAAAGGCGCCCAGACAGAATCTGGTGATGGGCCACACATCAGAGTAACATTACCGGGCAATCTGGTGAAACAGAAATCAATACCTTAAGATATTTATGTGTTGAGTTAAGAACATCATTTTTTAAATATCTTATTACAACACAGTAGTGGTAGTTATCGACTGGAACACCAGGAACATGGCAGTCATGTCGTCAGGTCTGAGTCACCTGATGTTTACACCTGAATGCACAATCGTTGGTATCAAATGACTGTTCAGACCGAGCTGGTATTCACGATCCTGTTTCGTCGAACGCTGCATTGTTAACTTCGCTGTGTAAACGGACGGATGGCTTTCGATGGATGAGGGACATATTATATCACCGAACTGACATATCATATTCTGAACTCCAGCCTGCCAAGCCATACAGACATACACCTCACACTAACAGGTGAGATACATAGATGCTTTGATAAACCAAGAAAGAATTATGTATATAAATTGATTTAGTTAGGTTATAGAAGCAGATCCCTATGATCAACAGAAATATGTTCTAAACACCGTTGTCCGATTCTGTCATTATCATAACTATGTGTTCATGAGTTAGTATCAGTTAGTGATGAGTGAGTGAGTGAGTGAATTAGGATTAAGAGTCACATCGACAATATTTCAGCCATACCTTGACTAAAACTAAATATACATTAATGATAAGAAAGTAATAAATTTAAATTCTGTCAACTAAGGACAGTAAAGCAATGAGCATATCAAAGATAGAGACATAAATTTAGCATGTAATTAAAAATTTATGATATTATTCAGGAGATTACAATATATAAGACGGATTATTGGTCACCAGCAACTGAAGGCAGATCACCAAACTAGGGACCACGGGGACTTATAGCAGTTTGTGGTAATACCAGATGTACATATAAGACTTTACTGAAACCAAATGTGTAGGAAGACAATTACTGAATACCTGATACATAAATGCATGAGTAGTAATAATATCATCCCCGATAAATTTGTAACAGGCAAGAATCTTAGCGCAAAACGCCACTTCACGACTCACAATGGTATACGGTATTGTAAACCAATAGTGAGTGTTTTGCACAATCTGATTCGTTAATTACCCTTGTCGAATAGAGTTCGACATACCTGAAAATGATGGCCTAACACAGCCGTCGGTTTTAAACAAAATTTGCCTATGTTGAATTGCAATGAATCCCGGAAATTGAACAAACTATTGATCTTCTAATTTCACTAGCTGGTGAGGTTCGATATGGTACAAATCACCAACAAACTTGCTTTCAGAGTTTATCTGAGAAAACAGTGTATAAGTGAAGCTTTTATACGATCATGTGCATAGATTCTACTTATTAATAAAAATTAATAACGATTTAGTGATCAAAACACATGTCTGCCTCTTTCATACCAAAGATCTAATATTTAGAAATTCTCGAATTACACTTGAAAATGGCATTCCTCGTCCCATTGGGTGGTACTACCAGGTAAAATTGTCTTGCTTTTGTTTTGCATCCTCACTCACTTCCCTTTGGTGACGCCTGAGTTCACTCGAGGACATACCGACCCAGAGGCGATATAAACTGGTATCAATTTCGTAGATATATTGTTGGTGTTGACTGTTCCACATGCGTTTCTGTCCCGATGTTCCTACCGTTGTACATGTATAGTGTTTGACTATGCGTGATAAAGTGATAAGATAAGAACAGACTGTGTCACATGTTCTAAATTCTAAGTGAGTGAGTGAGTTTGGCACTCAGCAATATTACAGCTATATGGCGGCGGTCTGTAAATAATCGAGTCTAGACCAGACATTCCAGTGATCAATAGCATGAACATCGATCTGCAAAACTGGGAACAGATGACATGTGTCAACCAAGTCTGACCACCCGATCCCGTTAGTCGCCTCTTACGACAAGCATGGGTTACTGAAGGCCAATTCTAAGCCGGACCTTCACGAGTTCTAAATTCTAAATTGAATATTTGAATGTGCAGGACATTCATCAACGTTTAATGCATTCGCTGTCCTCGGGACTTTCATCAACGTTTTGTGCATTCTTTGTCCCCAGGACTTTCATGAACGTTTTGTGCATTAATTGTCCCCAGGACATTCATGAACGTTTAGTGCATTCATTGTCCTCGGGACTTTCATCAACGTTTAGTGCATTAATTGTCCCTAGGACTTTCATCAACGTTTAGTGCGTTCATTGTCCTCGGGACTTTCATGAACGTTTAGTGCATTAATTGTCCCCAGGACATTCATGAACGTTTAGTGCATTAATTGTCCTCGGGACTTTCATCAACGTTTAGTGCTTTCATTGTCCTCGGGACTTTCATCAACGTTTAGTGCATTCATTGTCCCAAGGACTTTCATCAACGTTTAGTGCATTCATTGTCCTCGGGACTTTCATCAACGTTTAGTGCATTCATTGTCCTCGGGACTTTCATCAACGTTTAGTGCATTCGTTGTCCTCGGGACTTTCATCAACGTTTTGTGCATTCATTGTCCTCGGGACTTTCATCAACGTTTAGTGCATTCATTGTCCCCAGGACTTTCATCAACGTTTAGTGCATTCAGTGTCCTCGGGACGTTCATCAACGTTTAGTGCATTCATTGTCCCTAGGACTTTCATCAACGTTTAGTGCATTCATTGTCCTCGGGACTTTCATGAACGTTTAGTGCATTCATTGTCCCCAGGACATTCATGAACGTTTAGTGCATTCATTGTCCTCGGGACTTTCATCAACGTTTAGTGCATTAATTGTCCCTAGGACTTTCATCAACGTTTAGTGCATTCATTGTCCTCGGACTTTCATGAACGTTTAGTGCATTAATTGTCCCCACGCAGGACATTTCATGAACGTTTAGTGCATTCATTGTCCTCGGACTTTCATCAACGTTTAGTGCATTCATTGTCCCTGGACTTTCATCAACGTTTAGTGCATTCATTGTCCCTCGGACTTTCATGAACGTTTAGTGCATTCATTGTCCCCAGGACATTCATGAACGTTTAGTGCATTCATTGTCCTCGGACTTTCATGAACGTTTAGTGCATTCATTGTCCCCAGGACATTCATGAACGTTTAGTGCATTAATTGTCCTCGGACTTTCATCAACGTTTAGTGCATTCATTGTCCTCGGGACTTTCATCAACGTTTAGTGCATTCATTGTCCCAAGGACTTTCATCAACGTTTAGTGCATTCATTGTCCTCAAGGACTTTCATCAACGTTTAGTGCATTCATTGTCCCCGGGACTTTCATCAACGTTTAGTGCATTCATTGTCCCAAGGACTTTCATCAACGTTTAGTGCATTCATTGTCCCGGGACTTTCATCAACGTTTTGTGCATTCATTGTCCCAAGGACTTTCATCAACGTTTAGTGCATTCATTGTCCCAAGGACTTTCATCAACGTTTAGTGCATTCATTGTCCTCGGGACTTTCATCAACGTTTAGTGCATTCATTGTCCTCGGGACTTTCATCAACGTTTAGTGCATTCATTGTCCTCGGGGCTTTCATCAACGTTTAGTGCATTCATTGTCCTCAGGACTTTCATCAACGTTTAGTGGATTCAGTGTCCTCGGGACGTTCATCAACGTTTAGTGCATTCATTGTCCCTAGGACTTTCATCGACGTTTAGTGCATTCATTGTCCCTAGGACTTTATCGACGTTTAGTGTGTTTTCATAACCTCGAGTTGGTACCGCCAATATGCTTCATTAATGTCACTACATTGTATGGCTAACTCTGAAAACGGCACACAAACGACACGAGTTTGATGTTGACGTGGCGCGATCTTGGATCAATGAATTGTATTAGTATCTTTGCTCAGTTTCAATGTGATTTTGTCACTTGATGAACAAATGAAACAATCAAACATCTAGCTTAAAACAAGATCAGCTGGTGATCAGCTGCTTTGGTAATCTGTTCGAGTAGTATGATCTAGCCGATCTGGTATGGATCCTCTAAGGTATATGTGACGTTAAAGGAGAATGCGAACGAAAACAACACTTTTGATACATTGTAAAGGATATTCTAACAGTAACCTTTCGTGATTGAAATTGAACAAAACGTTTGTAAAATAGCAGTGCAAACACAAAAAAAACGTACTTGTATTTCCGCCTATTACGGAAACACCCGACAGTTAATGAGCAGAGGGGTATGACGTGACACGGCGTCATATGTGCCTGTTGCTGATGCCTTCCTCTTTGATTTTACCTCACAACTTAACAGTGTCCATGAATTCTGAAGCAATAAAAGATGTTCCTGATGTAATTTCTGAAATGGATGTTAGACCGTATCAGCACGATCCGATTTTACATCTTGCAAGACAATCTTCCACTGAAGATGAAGAAGAAGAATCAAACAAAACGGAGGCACCGCTTGAGGTCAAAATAAATATAAAAATAGACCATATAATTTAACAAGAATACTATTTGTCAGCAAAATGTGATACAGTTCCAACCAGCAAACCCAGCCCTATAAATATATGACCAGACCCTATGAATTATATTTTTTTGCAATGTGATTGCAGTTCCTTTTGTGTCAAATGGGTGGCTGTAGAGTGTCTGGGATTTAAAACAAAATAATTATGCCTCAGACGGGGAAAATAGAAATTACCTGCTACAAAAATTATACTGGAGTTATTTTTTAGAAAAAAAATAGGATCCTAATGTTGATTAATAACGTATCAAGTCTCCATGGCAAGATCGCAGCCTGGTCGAGCAGAGATAATATTCGCGACGCAGATAAGTTATTCCCTCGAAAAGTGGTGAATTAAATGTACTAGCCACGGCAATGTATGTTTCCCAGTGTTTGGTTATGGAAATAGCTACATGGTGCTCGGTCATAAACTTAGAATGACATCTTGTCAGCCAATGAGAATACAGAACAGCTTTCACGGCACACACTACTGACAAATAGCGAGTCTGATGCCGACGTGCGTAATTGGACAAAATGGAAAACAATGAAAGCAACAAGTGCTTCATGATTTGCCGTTGTTTTTGGCAATGTTTCGGGTAGACTGCAGCATTTAGGGCTCCAAACCGAAAAGAACGTTATAGCGAAACATTTTCAAGTTCATGTGAAATCTCTTACTGATTTTGATAATATATATCTCATGGGTACCAGTCGAACTGCCTCAGCTACCAAATGCCCCAGCAAACTTGGTCATTCATACTAATTTGGTCAAATTTATTTAAAATGTGTAAATATATGCCGTAAATGCATAGTTTTTGTCAACTTTGATCTTATGATCTTTTTATAAAAAATATTAGGAAGTAATATTTCTGATAAATGTTCCATTAGTAAACTAATAACTATGTATATACTTTTATATGAAGAGCATAATATCAAAGTTGACAAAACTATGAATTTATGGCCTATATATAATCATTTGAAACAAATTTTAGCATTTTGATCATTCCCACCCTGGGGCAATTTGACCAAAACTCCAGGGCAATTTGACCAAATTTGCTGGTGCAATTTGTAGCTGGCGCAATTCGACTGGTAATCGGACTTGATTTAATTTATGTTAAAAATACCACTGACAGTAAGTTGTTACAGGGAATGATGGAGTATAAATGAATCTCGTGGGTACTTCTTCCTTCTTCAGCCAAGCTTTGGGATTTTCATATCCCATGTGTGCATGTCTCTTTCATATGCATCCGACTCAGAATGATCGGAGCATTTCTCCTGCCTAACTCTGTCTCTTTATTTGGAAAACGGAAGAAATGGTGGCTCTTCCCATTGTTCGATGATTCTGTGCATCCCCAGGCAACGGAATACACCATCGTACCATTTACAAAAACGACAGAAACAACACGATTTGTATTACTGTAGCGCTTGTGCGTTGGCAATATGGCGGACGCTAGTCACATATGATGTCACGAGCGGAAAGGTCACGTGAGTTCCAGCGGAATATGCATAATGGCCGAAGCTCAGATAACAGAAACTGTTTTCACGATAAAACATAAGAAAACCATATTTTTAAATTAAAATTGGAGTAAATGTTTCTGATAACTTTATCTTTCACCCAGTAAATTATTACAATTGTCTAGTATTCTCCTTTAACTATATCAAACTTCTCTTCCAGGTCATCATGCTGAAGGAGTGGATAGTCCTACTGACTCTGGGCTATTGCCAAGGGAAGAAACCTGTTTGTAGCCTGCACACAGACCAACGATATGGTTTGTTTGTTGATTGCAAGGGAGACAATTGGAACACCTTCCAAATGATCTTCCATGTAATATAACCGCACTTGACATGAGTGAAAATGGTCTAACCAGTTTGAGCAGTGGTGCATTTCAGAAGTTCTCAAATCTCACTTATCTGAATCTTAATTCAAACTTACTCTCAAAAAATGGACACTGGTGTCTTCAGAGGCTTGTTTAATCTGACAGTAAAGTTGTCGTTTGCCAAGAACAAACTTGGCGATGAATCTTTCCCCTGAGGATATTTTCAAAGACCTCAATAAATTGCATACATTAAATCTTGAAAAGAATAGTATGACGTCATATCCGGATCGGGTGTTTCCTCCTCTTACAAACCTTCATAGTCTATATTTAGACTCAATTCCAGAGCCTGTGTTCGGTTCCGGATTCTCCAAACTCTCAACTTTAAAGGTTCTTCAAATGGACTCAAGATTTGTCTATGGTGGAGACTGTTCAGTAGAAAACTTACAAATAAATCATTCCAGAGTTTAAATGAAACCAAAGTAGAAAGTTTGATTTTGAACCACTGCCATATAGCACACTGTGAAACTGGTGTTTTGAAGCCACTAATGTTTTTGAAACATTTGGAACTATGTTATAATGGGATAGGAATTCAGAAGAGTTTACACCTCCTGTTTCCCTTTGTAGGCAGAAACATGAGTAGAATCTGGCTCAATGGGTCACATACCTCTCCATTGAAGCATAAGGCTGACATCGATGAGCGTGTACTTACCTCAAACAGCACAAGATATTTGACACAAATATGTTTATCAGTATTATCATTGCGACATAATGGAATATACATGATTGAAGCTGGCTCTATCAATAAAAGTCCTTTCAGGGAATGCATTGAAGTGCTTTGATATATCTGAAAACTTCCTTGTTGGGGATGGTGGCCTTTTATTAATTTTGATGGTATTTTCACGTTTGAAGTATCTTGATGTCAGCTATCAGCGACAGGTATATGACGTACCAAGCCAAACCATGTTAGCATCTCCAATAGCGGTAGCACTACCACAAAATATTGTATATTTTGATGTAACAGCGTTACTTTGCTAGTGCTGTAGACGTTGATTTTGATGTAACTTTTTACAATACGGACAACTTGAAGACCTTTCTATTTGGTTATAACAAAGCATCTGTCAAACGCGTATATGGTTTGGAACATGTGTATAACGTTGATGTTTCAGGGAACGACTTTGGTGCCATAAGCTATGACTTTTTCCAAGCTTTCTCGAATGTTAAAAAGCTTTCTATTAGAAACTGCAACTTACAAAATGCTAACTACACATTTACAAAGACTGATATGTTTAAGGAACTGGAAGAAATCCAGAATTTAGACGTGTCATCAAATGGCCTCAGACACTTCCCAATTATACCAAATCCAGGAAAATTAATTGAACTGAATCTGTCTCACAATGTTTTTGATACTATCCCCATAGTGTTTGTCAATTACACTAGTCTTATTCTCCTGGATATGTCTTTAACTTAATAGGAGAACTAAGTAAGGATGCTAGATCTAAACTCGATTTGGCTGCTGGACGGAATAGCAAGATGAAGATCAAGGTCCAAGGAAATATATTTTCTTGTGGTTGTGAAAATTTGGACTTCATCTTGTGGTTGATGGACACAACAGTGATATACGAATCAGACCGAAACTTCCCTTGTATACAGGACAATGGCACGACCACGGGAACTGTAGATGTGGCTAGGAATTATAGAAGTATACATCGCTACTGCACAGGCAAATTGAGTCTAAGTCTCACGATCACATTCATGACAATGTTTGTCACATCCATAATCATGACATACATTGTCTCCAAGAATTCAACTAGATACCGCAACATTGCAATGAGACTATTGGGATTTGGTGTTCAATACCTGACTCCCAAAGAGTTTGATTTCACTTTCTTTGTCGCGTATTGTGCGGCTGTTGTTCCTTTTTGTCTATCGGAAAGTACGACCAGGACTTGAACAGTGTAATCACCCGGCTCGTCTGTTTCTGAAGGATCGTGATGTTCTTCCAGGTGTTCCTATCGCCGACGGTATTATTTGCGGTATCACTAACAGTTGGAAGTCTGTTCTGGTGATTTCAGATGACTTCCTTCAAGATTGTTCTCAGTGGTCACACTTTACCATTGATGCAGCACTTTACTCGGTAACAGATCTGATTCCTAACCGGATCATTTTGTTACTTTTGGGCCCCGTGCAGGTGGAAGACCTACCTGAGCGTCTGCTGAATGTGGTTGAAGAGGAGTGCATATTACGTGTAGAGGATTACCAGGACGGGGACGGTACTCTGTGGAAGGATCTAAGAAAAACCGCTGGAATCTAAAGGGATGAAATTAAGACATTGGGATGGCAGCAACACATATAGACATTATTATATTCAGCCAGTGAACAGACGACACGATACCCAACATGTCATTTTGTAATGTATTCTGCCTTAGGATGAAATTCACCTCTGAAGTGAGGTTATATAGATTGTAGTGAGGAGTTCAATTACTGACTCATTGTGTACACCGTTGTTAAGGTTTTAACAGTAACGAATCATTTTAGCAGTGTCATAACGTACCACTGAACAAATATATATATATACACACACACATACATATATACATGCACACACACACACACACACACACACATATATATATATATATATATATATATATATATATATAAGGGCAAATCCGACCTTTGGGCGACAGTACTATAAGCTGCGACCTTTGGGCGACATTGCCATATATTACAAACGTACATTGATTTTTATATTTCTTCGGTTATATACACTTTAATTTGATAATTAAACATTAAAAGGGATAAAACCTTGTACATATATACAAATAGAGAATATATTTTGATGTCGCCCATACCGTGTCGCCCAAAAGGTAAAGTGTACGGCGTACATGTATATATATGCAACCTTTAGGCGACTGTCGCCCAAAGGTCGTATATATATGTCGCCCAATGGTCGCTTATGTAATATACATATATATATGTCGCCCAACGGTTGCTGTTTAATACTATATACATGTATACATTTCCATGGCTGCTTATTTGATATATATGTCGCCCTTTGGTTGTTTCTGTGTTTCAATGTCTTGCGCGCCGAGGAAATTATATTTCATATCTGTGTGCATGAAACTGACTTTCTTGTTTCCGATCTTTAACATCGCACGTACAATCAATTCATAGTTTTGTGCTTAATTATCTCAAATATGATGCTGTCAAACAAATCAGGCTAGTTAGAATTAATACTGAGATTATGATTACTTGTAATATTTCTAAAAATATTATGCTGTAACAGACATTTATAATTTGGCATAACATGCATTTATTGTTTCCCACTCAAGCGCCGATGTGCCCTTGCTTCATATTAATTAGTGTCCGTTGTTTACCATTCGAGGTTTGCAAAGGATTAAGTTTTAAGGATATGTTAAGATTAACCAACAACTAAATATCAAATATTCCCATACTCAAACACTGAAAACCTCTATAGGAAATAGAGTAAAATTGAGTAAAATTAATAAACCGGATTGCACAGTCCAGATATGAAAAACGTCTTTTAACGAGATAAAGTAACAACATCATTAACGTTCGTCATCAAATATGGATTTGTTGAAACTAATTCTAATGACTGATCACAATGAAGAGATGAGCGAAAGTTGATGAAGTCTGAATACCATCTAACCACAGCCCATTTTGAGCCAATCGGGACTATTCTCGTTCTCTTATCATACACTGAGGCATACCAGACGACTCCTGAATAAACTAGGGCTCCGACACTGTGATTTTCCAAATGTCTGGTCTGAAAACCATTTAAACACAGCCTATTTTGAGCCAGTCGGGATTATTCCCGTATTCTTATCATACACTGAGGCATACCAGATGACTCCTGAATAAACTGCATGGGGGCTCCGACACTGATATTTGCCAAATGTCTGGTCTGAATACCATTTAAACACAGCCTATTTTGAGCCAGTCGGGACTATTCCCGTATTCTTATCATACACTGAGGCATACCAGACGACTCCTGAATAAACGAGGGCTCCGACACGGATATTTGCCTGTTGTCTGGTCTGAATACCATCTAAATACAGCCCATTTTGAGCCAGTCGGGGTTATTCCCGTATTCTTATCATACACTGAGGCATACCAGACGACTCCTGAATAAACTAGGGCTCCGACACTGATATTTGCCAAATGTCTGGTTTGAATACCATTTAAACACAGCCTATTTTCAGCTAGTCGGGACTATTCCTCGTATTCTTATCATACACTGAGGCATACCAGACGACTCCTGAATAAACGAGGGGCCCTGACACTGATATTTGCCTGTTGTCTGGTCTGAATACCATCTAAACACAGCCCATTTTTGAGCCAGTCGGGATTATTCCCGTATTCTTATCATACACTGAGGCATACCAGACGACTCCTGAATAAACTAGGGTTCCGACACGGATATTTGCCTAATTTCAGGTCTAAATACCATTTAAACACAGCTCATTTTGAGCCAGTCGGGAGTATTCTCGTTCTCCTATCATACACTGAGGCATACCAGACGACTCCTGAATAAACTAGAGCTCCGACACTGATATTTGCCTGACGTCTGGTCTGGTCTGAATACCATTTAAACGCAGCCCATTTTGAGCCTTTCAGGACTATTCCAGTATTCTTATCATACACTGAGGCATACCAGACGACACCTGAATAAACTGGGGCTCCGACACGGATATTTGCCTGATGTCTGGTCTGGTCTGAATTCCATCTAAATACAGCCCATTTTGAGCCAGTTGGGAGTATTCCGGTTCTCCTATCATACACTGAGGCATACCAGACGACTCCTGAATAAACTAGGGCTCCGACACTGATATTTGCCTGATGTCTGGTCTGAATACCATTTAAACGCAGCCCATTTTGAGCCTTTCAGGACTATTCCAGTATTCTTATCATACACTGAGGCATACCAGACGACACCTGAATAAACTGGGGCTCCGACACGGATATTTGCCTGATGTCTGGTCTGAATACCATCTAAATACAGCCCATTTTGAGCCAGTCGGGAGTATTCCGGTTCTCCTATCATACACTGAGGCATACCAGACGACTCCTGAATAAACTAGGGCTCCGACACTGATATTTGCCTGATGTCTGGTCTGAATACCATTTAAACGCAGCCCATTTTGAGTCATTCAGGACTATTCCAGTATTCTTATCATACACTGAGGCATACCAGACGACTCCTGAATAAACTGGGGTCTGACACGGATATTTGCCTGATGTCTGGTCTGAATACCATCTAAATACAGCCCATTTTGAGCCAGTCGGGAGTATTCCGGTTCTCCTATCATACACTTAGGCATACCAGACGACTCCTGAATAAACTGGGGCTCCGACACGGATATTTGCCAAATGTCTGGTCTAAATACCACCTAACCAAAGCCCATTGTGAGCCAGTCGGGACTATTCCCGTATTCTTATCATACACTGAGGCATACCAGACGACTCCTGAATAAACTTGGGCTCCGACACTGATATTTGCCTGATATTTGGTCTGAATACCCATTTAAACGCAGCCCATTTTGAGCCATTCAGGACTATTCCAGTATTCTTATCATACACTGAGGCATACCAGACGACTCCTGAATAAACTGGGGCTCCAACACCGATATTTGCCTGATGTCTGGTCTGAATACCATCTAAACACAGCCCATCACCGACTGGATCCACAAGTGCTACCACCCCATACCCTTTATTTTTCCAAATCAGCTTCGAGACTCCACCATGGAAAATGGAGCCACATTCCACCCCAGTGCGAACCAATGATAGGAACAAGAAAAAATTGTAAGTTTAATAATTACTATTTATTAAACCAAATAGTTTTGACATTCTTATTTGCATAACTTTGCAAAAAATTGTAATTGTGGCATTTACACTTCTCTGATCGAGACCTTGACTAACATTTGTCAGGTTAAATTGCTAACAATGTTGTTCCAGGATAAGGTGTTTCACCTTTAGAGGGTTGGTTCAAATCACACAAGGATTCACTCCACCCTCTACCAGCAAAGTACTAGTATCTGTACTATACTGGAAAAGTGAATTCCCAAATGTAACATCCCTTAGAAATGATCTGAATATTTATTAAGTTAATTTCATTCTTAAAATGTGTGCCATCTCTTCCTTGTCCTTTGCTGCTGTATTTTCTGCTTGTTCATCATTTTTCTCAGCTGAACATAAGAGCATTCGTGCTTGGAAATCTGTAGAAATGACTGAATGGTCTCTCGCTTCTGAAATATAACAAAGTTTTCAAAATTATGCTAAACATCAATGTACAGTGAGTATCATCACTCAGCT